ATATAATTTTTTATTTAATAATTAATCATTTCAGATTTCTTATATTAAAAATAAAAAATAAAATACTGAATTTTTAATAATTATATATAGTAAATATTTTAAGTCTTTTTTAAAATTTTTCAATTATTAAATATAATTAAAAAAATCTCTTTTATAATCATACCTCTTTATAATTGTTTAAACTTTTTAAGTATGATAATTATAGAAGATTTGAATATATTATTTTATTTTTGTAAATGAATAATACAGAAGATATTTATTTTTAAATTAGTTTATCATTACTTAGAAAAAAATATTATAGAAAAGTTCTCTTATAAATTAATAACTTTTTAATAAATTTACATTTTTATATTTTAAAAACTTAATATATTAAGTTATACAATATAATATTTATAAGTGAATAGTGATATTATGATAAATATAGGTATTTTGATGGTTTGATTATAGCACGTAATCCACCAATCAAAATCAAGTAATTTTTATATCATTTTATTCATCTCGCGAAAACAAATCGAATGGTGTAAAGATCACCCGATTCTGATCAGTGAATCAAAGATAGGGATATTATGATGATGGGTGTACTTTGACAAACTCCAGATATTTGATTATAGCGATAGCATATAATCAACGGATCGGAATCAAACCATTTACATGTAATTCGTCTTGTTAATCACTTGATTCTGATTGGTAGATCAAATGATAAGGCATATTAATGCGCTACATAAATATTTCGCGCTTCTTTTTGATCGCGTAATTTTTTTTCTTTAAAATAAATTACGTATTACATAGTTTATTAAAAAATACTTTATTAAATTTGTCATATTACATACTATTTTGAATTATAATGTCGCAAGCTTATATTAATCGGTGTGAGTTAGTTTGTGCAGCACTTAACGAACTCAAAAAATACCCTGCTGATTCCAAATATTCACGTATAAACAGCATAGCAAAAGATTTTGGACTTTCAGAAGCCACCCTTCATTCAACATGCAATCAAAAATAGTGGTTCGCTTAATTATCAAGGACCACCAACTATACTTACTAATTATGAGAAAGAATAGCTTATTAACTATTGCATTGATATGCAAAAGCTTGGGTTTGATTTAACCAAGTCTGGAGTCAATCATTATGTAATGAAAATTATGAATAAAAAAAAAACGATCACATCCATTTGGTGAGAATGGGCCAGGTCAAGGTTGGTGAAATCGTTTTATGAAAAATTATTCCAAGTCATCACTTCATGTTCTACAAGAATTATCTGAAGCTCGTGCGCAAAGAACCAATGCAACCATTGTTAGAGATCATTTCAATAAACTTAGACAAGTTATTAATGAAAATTTACTCATCACTATACAAATTTGGAATATGAACGAAACTGGATTTATTCTTGCACCTACATTGGCAAAGATTATTGCGAAAGGCACAAGAAAATTTACATGAACATATTTCGGTTACTCGAACAATTTCAGCCGCAAGAACGTATATTCTCCCTCTGCTTATTTATAAGGGAGTTTGTATAATCCCTGGCTTATTAGAAGGTGCACCTTCCGGAACTGTAATGAGTTTTACAAACTCAGGATACATGTGTGAAGATCTTTTTCAATTATTCCTCAATAATTTTGTAAATTTGATCCATCCATCCGACCAGTTTTGTTAATACTTGATGATCACAAAAGCCATGTAAGTTATATGAGTATTGATTTCTGCAAATCCTTCTTTATATATTTCCACTTCATACAATATATATAAATTACAACTATCCGAACTTCCTTTTGCAAAATTAAAAAAAGGAATATTACAAAGAGTGTGAAAAATATCACAATGAAAATAATGAAAAAATAGTAATTAAACGTACCTTTGCAAAGATTTTTGATCCTGCCTTTATCATTACTTATACATTATCAAGATATCTGCAACGCCTATAGAGCCACTGGAATATGGCCATTTAATCCCGTTGCTATTAGTCCAGGTCTTTTAAATCCATTATTAGCAAATGAAAAATTTGAAAACATGTCGTCAGTTTCGTCAAGTTACCGCCAGCAATGCAATCATCTCCAGCAATGCAGTCATTTCGTAGACCAAATCTTTTTCATTCTACTCGTTCAAATATTACTCAATTTAAAAAAAATTACGAGTTAATTATGAATAAAATGAAATATTAAAAGTCCGACTTGCAACAGAAAAGAGAAATTAGAAACTTACAAAAATCCCAGAAGGAGTTCCTTATGTTTAGTTCTCAAGTATGCGTCCCTCATGTTTCGCAAATCGAAACACCTGAAGTTTCTTTAGAAAACCAAACTGAATCTGAAATCCCTGTTCCTAAAAAAAGAAAGACTCTTCACTTTGTACAACTGCTTACTAGTGTAGAAAATTGGTAGCAATTAAACAAGTTAAATAAGGAAGTAAAAGTAAAGATCGTAGAAAGAAATCAAAAAAAAATTGCACGGGAACTTGAACTAGTGAGAAAAAGAGAAGAACATGAACAAAAAACGCAAGAAAAGAGCGTCAAAAATGCAAACGATAAAAGAAATTTCTTCATCAAAATACCCTCAAAAATCCTATTTTGGCTGCCACTGTACTTTTATAATATAAATAATTAAAAAAGCTCAAAAAGTAGTTATATATTTTGAATTAAGAATAAAGTCGCGTTGTTTAATCAGAAAATTCATTTTATATCTTAAAAAAGCTAATTTAGTTCAAAAGTTAAAAAACTAACGCAATATATATAAATTTAAAAATAAGAATTAATTAATATAGCTGATTTAGTTGAACTAATTTTTTTCCAATGGATCTCGAAAATTTCTAAATTATTATCGAAATAAAAAGTTACTTATGGTTCAATAATAAGGAATTCTTATTTGCCGGCTAGTCGAAACAAAAAATACCAACTCAGTTGCACTGTTGTTTTATTGCCGGCTTGAAAACCCTATTTATAACTTGGATAACATGGATGTGTAAGTTCGTTAATTTATTCACTCCTCCACATTACAATAATTAACAACCGACATAACGATGAAGTATTGCTTCAGTGAAATTAAGTTTGAATGCAAATAAACGAAATATTTTAGAGCAGAGTATAATATTAAAATTTTTATAACGAGCTTCTAAGCATCGACTTGCAGAACTAAATGAAGATAGTCTATAGATTAAATCAAATACTGTGTTCTTCGGAAATACGCACCCATATTACTCAACTGACATAGTTGTGATTCTTCGCAGATCGAAATTATTGACATTTTAATAGTTAAGGCAATAGTTAAGGCAATGTTTTCGTGACCTGTTGCGCGAGTAAAATTACTATAAATGAACAGATCTGAATATATCAAGATCCGATCTCATTTTTGTATTGTTCTATCTATACCAGGGAAACATGAACTAAAATATGTAGTATGTGCAGCATTGATCATTCAGTCATATATACATATATCTCACCACCAGCTATGAATGAATCCAGGAAATAAAGCATAATCGTATCGTACCGGCTCTGTTAAAAATAGCACAGAAGAGAACCAGAATTAGTTGCGGAAAGTGTGAAATAAGCGATGCCGAAACACATTATTGAGCTGAGTTTATTTTCGGAATAATGAGGTATTATAGATATATTAATTCATGTTTCACAATATTATTCTTCATTATTTCTTCATCTCCTTGCATTTACTTCAAGGATCGATCTGATCTATGGTTGATCTTTGCATATGAAATGTTTTTCCCGAAATCCGTAAAACCCGGCCCAAATTAAAATCGAACACAAATAAACAGCGAATTGAATATCAGTTAAATTATTTTGTTTCACTTCAAACTTGTGTACCTCATATCGATATCGATATTACAACTTTGATCTAAACTTACATGGGTCATTCTTGGAATAATCAAGTATTGGCTGTTAGTATCTTCTAATCAAATTGTAAATGTTACTGAATCCGCCTACGCATGTCACTGCATCAGTAAAATTTAAATGTGCCTTAATTCCTATTTCTATACTCATAATTTTGGTACTTACATGCATACATGTGCACAAGCCAATAAAGCTTATTTCACTGCGAAAAAAAACAATGGTGTGCAAATACCGATACACTCAAAGGGAGAAAAAGCTTTTTGCAGAAGTTTGATACCTAAAAAGTCCAAATTTAGACGAACAAAAATCCATTCATGTCATTCTGATGCAACCGCAGCAGCATCTATAACAACCTCTCATCTTTATTAGATACAATGAATGTATCTCTTGAATAGTAAAAAGAAAAAACTTTCATATTTTACATTGTGACTAAATTTCAAATACATGTAATTAAAAATAGAAAAAAATTCTGACAACAACATCGAACAAGGGATTTCTTAAATGAACCGCATTAATATGGCATCACTATAACACGTCGTTCAGTCGGTTTATGAGTTGCTAATTTTGGAAAAAAAGTTTAATAGTTCAATGACTTTGTTTTATAATAATTTTTTACAATGATAATGAGCATTTGTTTAAATTTAACTCACGTGAATAATGCCCTCGTATCGATATCAGATTCGATCATGAACAGTGTGTTGGTGGATTGAGTGAACTTGCACAAACTTGATTTGAGACAAGCTTTTGTCATTTCAGTTTAATTTTACTCCTATAATGCGTAAAATGTATACTGTACAATACATACTATACACATAGTACACAAAATAAAGACCTATTACATGCGTATATATTGAAAATCATTGTTGTGTAATGGGAAGGATCTATTTTTAAATCACCCTAAATTTTTAAGTCACTCCACTTTATTTTTAGAAATATCCTACACCATTGAATATGAACGTGAGACAGACCACTGTCATACGTGGAAATAAATATATATAAACATTTGCTGAGCTTTCCCCCGGAATGAATTGTTATTAAACACTCCATAAAACAAAGTCAAAGCAATAACAGATCGCACATAATTATAAAAATCTCTGTCTTTCAATTAAAAAGTTAAAATTTAAAGCAATCGATACTGGATAGCGCGATACTGAATAATAAAAAAATGGCACAAACAATAATAATTTCTCCCCGTGTTAGTTCTCTAAACTATAATAAGCGTAGCAATAATTATTATGATACTGAGAAAAACACGACAACGATATCTTTAAGTTCGAGTTCAATAAAACCATACAAACAGACTTCCCCTAAAGAGTTCGTTTCCACCATACACACTAGAGAACCGCCAGTGACACGATCAATCGTGCCAATTAAAGTCGAAAGCCAAGAATCCAGAGTAAAAAATAATCTTTCAAGGTTTAATTCATCGTTAGAAGTGAACTCTGGTCTACAACGTTACATATCACCAAAAAACCGAAACACTCTCGCGAGATACGATTCGTCAGATTCGAAAGTATCTTTGGACAACTGTTCAGCAAAGAAAGGAATATTCAAAAATTTTTTTGATCAGCTTCGACGAGAGGAGAAAAAAATAAACATGGAGATTAAGCGACGAAGCGAAACGCCATTATCAAGTACAATCTCATCACCTTCTAAACCTTTTAAGCCAACTCGTGCATCTTATTCGGGTCGAAATAATACTTTCGTTTGTTAGTTTATTAGATAAAGCTTTACTTCTCTCTCTCTCATATATATATATATATATATATATACATATATTAATTTAATCTAATTTGAATGAGATGAATTTTTGATTTTCCTTTAGACATTTCATTAAAAAATACCGATAGTAACAATAACCATATTTATTTCTAGATTGGCTTGAAAATATATTACAATTTCATTTTCTCATTAATGTAGACGAGATGCGTTTTCAGTCGTTAACTTAAAGCCACTTTGATTCGCAAGATACGTAACATCAATATGTAAATAATTAATTGTATTAGCGTACACATTTTCCTGTATTTTCAATCACACTCGCACTACGTATATTGATTATATGTCGTTTTCTTATCAATCACATTGATTATGCTATAATAAGCCTAAAAAATTAAAAAAAAAATAAATGCAAGTCCAAAAAAGTCAATTCGTATTTTTGGACATTATGAAATTAGAAACGACTGCTTTTTTTAAAACGCCAGAAAATAAAACTGCCAAATATCGGCATCTGAACACAAAAGTACACCGTTTTATTCTGCTGTGTTTGATTTGATCGGTTCGGTTCTTCGAAAAAACGTATTGATGCAAGCATTTCCTTTGAATACACGAATTGTTTGTCGTCTCATAATCAGTGAAAGAACAATTATCAGCATTCTTTATTCAACAGCAACAAAATAAAAACGCCGTATTTAGTCATCTCACAACAAAGGAAAAATTATTCGGTTTGTTTCAAATTTTTCAATTAAAACAATGGTGTCATTAGTTTATCCAATAGGCTGTGTAACTTTGATTTAGTTTTACTAAGCGCATGGCTATGCCGCTTGGTTCATTGAATCAGTTCAAAGCCTCTAATTAGTTACATGTTGGTTGGGCTTATCTCATAGTTAAACCGTGTCTGACTTTTAAACCATCGATAAGGTTCTGATGAAACCTATTGATGCGACGTGAATCTCCCTTTCCTGCATATGATCATTAAAAAAAAATTACATATACATGTACGGTACATGTGCATGTATGTAAGTAATGTAAGACAATAAACTCGACAAACATATGAACATATAGTTACAATATCAAAATTTATAAATTAGGTAAAACGAATAAGTTATATTAGAAAACAAGTTATCCAATTTTTAAAATTTATTTATAGCATTTCTTTTACTTTTTAATAAGTTCTCAAAAATATACAGAAATTCAAATAGAGCCAGTCTTTGATCTACAAGCAACATTGATCACGTTAAGCGAAAAAAGTACCGAATCTGAAACATTAAATAGAATACTATATGGAATTTATTAGTTAAATATGCTATTTTAAAAATTTTAACAACATTTCTAAAAATGAATTATATTTATATTAAAAATGTTTTGGTTAGAGCAGAAAACAATAAAAAATTTAAAATTAGATCTATTGAGAATTAAAAAATTTTTAAGTTCTAAACAAAATTATGTGTCATATTTTTAGAAAATGCATGTAAGTAATTACATTTTCGCTATTTCTATTTGTTCATCTTTATTAATGCATAGGAGGTAGCGACAGACATAGTAATTAGACATGCATAAAGTTTGTCTTTCAACATACCAAATTACAACCAATTTCTTTTCTTGAGTACGTACACGTCTTTCATTCATATTCAAGATTTTTCTTTTATTGACATCGTGCTTTTTCCTTTCATTTTTGTGTAATGGTATTAACAAATTAGCACCCAGCTTTTGTTTGACAATCTTGCTTTGGTTAGCTGAAAGCAGATGTGGTGCTTGTTTATGCTAATTTGCAACACTGTTACACTTTATGCTATCGTATCACTTGTGAGTTTCACATCAATAATCGAGAAATTCAGGGATGACAATTGCAGTATTCACGGGTAATTCCTTTGCATTAGGGATTTGGGAGGGGGTTAGGATTATTCATGAATAATGCTCAAATTTGGTGTACAAGTGATCTTCGTTAATCAAGTAATTGACACATTATTCTCATGCCAAGTCTAATTCTCAAGGTTATTAATTCACAAAATCCTTCGGCTAACGATGAATTACAAACACACGCACGGAAATGTCGCCATACAAGATTCTTCGCCATCAATCTATCCCATTAAAGATTAATTTTAAATAAATGAAGAAGATGCACCAATCGTTAAACGAATACTGCAAGTAGAACATCGATTTATTAATAGCAGCAGCAATAAAATGTATGAAATGAGTTCGTATCAAGACATCAAACATTTGGCGTCACGGGGTAATCTGTTTTTGTTTGGCATTAACGTTGGTGAAAAAAAACATTAATCATCCAATTTTTCACCGCAGCAAGCAAGAAAAATAATTCGGAATTTACTAATTAGTGCGTTTCCTTTTTTGTGTTCATTCTAACGCTAAAAAAATAACCGAATCCTAATCATCGCGCTAATAATAGAATAACTATGTCATAATTAGTCGCTGGTCATACGATCAAAATTATTCAGATTAGTGTAAATTGACGAAACATGCATAAAAAAGACACCTTTTTTACGCAAGTATAATAACGACACGAAATCTTTGACAAACAATATCGCCGAATCTAGTTCTAAAAGAGCATTTAAAAGATATTTTAGTTATACAGAATGATTTTTTACGAATTTATCTGCATACACTCAAAATTAATTTAGGAGCAAGAAAAAAGATGCAAATCTTTCGATTTTTTTATCTGTAAAAAGATTGTGTGTGTTGATAAATGCATGCATTAAATTTTATAGACACATGTTTCTTGAAAAGGTATTAGAAAACAGGTTATCGCGAAAAAGGTTCATTCTAGTGTCTTTATGAACAATCGAGATCTACTACTTTGTCCGCTTTATATGGTTAAATTCATGATCAAAGAATTAAATCTTGTTTACGAATTGTCGTCAATTTTTTTTTGTTTTGATTTATTATTTTTCTGCGCATGCCACAGTAATAAATCTATTATCGTATTCATCGACGAATGTATCCAATTTCCAATTGGGAGTCGAGAAACAACTTCCAAGATACATCATGGGAATAATTGTTGTCTTCTTTTGTCAAATTGAAAGTTCCTTTTTTGATATCGTAATAACAAATATTTGCAGACTTGGAAAGAAGCAGCATTAGCAAAAATAAAAATAAGAAAAGGGTCACTGATACAAAATATTGACAGTTGTTTTGTTGGGAATTTTCTGTAAAGAAAAAAAAATAAGAAATAGGTGACTTGGCAAAATGGGACTTTCCGATTCATTATGCGCACTATGATATAATAATCGACACAATATACCATGTACAATGTGCCAAGGAATTTCTGTAAAGAATTTAAGGGTCAAATTCAATCGTCTGCTTGAATTCAATAAACATCAAGCATTCATGTAAGAATTTGATCATCAAATTCAAGTACACCAATTTTCTTATGAATCAATCACTTTTCTGCGTTAAAATTCTCGATTTAATTTCCTCAAAAAATTATTTTCTGGATTAATAAATTTTATAGTCGGCGCTCTACAGTGACCGAGTTAATATACTTTTATTCACAAGCAAAAGTACAATTCTGACGCGCGCGAAACAGATATAAATACTTCATGCCTCAACGCTAGTAATAAAGTGTGGATTCAGTTTATAGTGGCGGCGTAGTAGCTTTTGTGCAAATTTATTTTTCCGCAACTAAAATTTATTGGATGTTATAAATAATAAAACCATCTTGTTATAATCAATGCATGAAATTAATTTTTTGAAATGCCCCAGGATCATGTTGCGAACTCTACACCTTTCGCAATTTTTAAGAGTCTTTGCGTTAAATATTATAATTTGCTGAGGTTTCCTTTAAATAAGAAAAACCATTTATCATATTTTTCCGTAAATAAGCAACCACGAAAGAAAATGCCCCCTGTTTTTTTTCAGTCAAAGTCGGTGTAAAAAATATATGAAAACTTAATAAATATAAGCTATCCCTCTCTTTGACCGCCAAAAATCGTGCAAAATCGTAGCTTATTTCGGGAAAATACAGTACTCTTAATTAATCTTGTCATAATTGATTATGTCATAGATTTCAAGTTGCAAAGTTCAATCGTCGTAATACTACATAACGATAATTTTTGTGTCAAACTTAATAAGTCCAAAAGACGAGCTTCAAATAAAACCGAATTTTATATATATAAGAGGGCCTTATGAGTAAATCCAGCTTATTAGTTGAATTCGCGTAAATATGTTCTTAAAACGTGATGTTGAAGAAAATAGTTGATCAATAAGTTAACCAGTATTTCATATTTAATGTATTTCTGTTTATAAAGTTAGAAAAATTCTAACATAGTGTGTCATGAAGATATTATTAAGCGAGGAATTTTTGGTAAAAACTCAGATCAAATGTCCGTACGAAAGTTCATGGTCCGATTTATCTACAGTGTGTTACAATTAGGGCTTCGGATAGTCTCGGGCGAACTGAAAGTTCAGTGGGCGAAATGTTTCAGAATTCAAAAATATGGTGTTGACCAATAAACACCTGATTCTTGATGAAGTTCGGTGCTATCTAAGACGTATGGCATTATTGAATTATACATAGTTTGAATATGTGACAACAAAATTTCGAAGGGTGTTTTTGTGCCACCTGTACAATGAGAAAGTATCTGGAAGAGATATTTTATCATATCTAATAATTATTATAAATGTAATTTACAACTTTTATATTAACATTTTAATATTAATATAAATAGTTTGTAATTAAACTCGCCAAGTCAAAACGTCAACACTGCTCAATGCCGTAGATACTGGTTTAACTAATAATGAAATTGTGGGCAGATTGGAGAGCTTTTGTATGTAAATAACCTTTGGTCTATTGCTTGTATTATTAATCTCTAATTATCTTTTAAAACAATAGGATCGCTGAAAGTGATACCACAAGTTTCAGCACCTCGTTTGCAATGATCCTTTTATCACAAACCAAAAAGCTCTCGAAAAGCTATTTCAAGAAATTCGTGTAGCGGTTTCTGAAGTAGGCCAGGTAATCTGCCAAATTATGCGTTGTTAAGGAGTTACCTTATTTAAGCGCGGTCATAAATGGGACAATGAGATTATGGCTATTACATTGAGTGATTTCTCATGCGTTTTACATTGTTTGCGTATCTTAAGTTTTTTCCTTTTTCTTAATGTTTTTATTTTTATCTATTTATTTTAAATATATTCTTCATTTTCATAGGAATTAATTAAGGAAATGAACATTGGACAATGTCATGTACACTCCCCGGTCAAAAGTGTCCGACCACTTTAAAACCGGATAAAAATGCACAAACTTCAACAATTAATTTC